TTGCACTAGAAATGCAAAGATGAACAGTTTGAATCCACCAGGCTGATTGGCGGGAGAAAGATAGGCAATCTCCTTAACAACTATGCCTACCATCATTCTGTCTTTTAAGTCCCCATTGAACAGTTCCCATCCCTACACAGACACCCGCCAACCTCTGCTTCCCAGTGATTTTTGTCCCTTTTAGCAGAGACACTCTTAAAGTGGACAGTGCTGCCCTGTGGTGGAAGGAGGCCGGGGTGTGCATTCCCCCGGATGTGCATCCTCCCAGCCCACCTGAGGAATCAGCTCCATTCCTCCACTTCAGATCTTCCCTCTAGAACAATCCATAGACTTCTCTGGAGCACTTGTTTGGGAACAGAGATGGCACGAGAGTTACTCTCTGCCTGGAATAGTGCTGGTAGACCAGAGACTTGAAGGCTGAGGCCACCGCAGAGTTAGGAGCCTCATAGCCAGTGGGGAAGAGGCAGGGCTGAGCCACGAGGTGAAGGTGACAAATTCATGTTGGAGTTGGAGGCCTTCACTCTGATGTCTGTGTGGAAAGTGGACTTGGGAGCAAAGGGCCAAGATGTGCATGGAGTTGGAGGCTGGTGAAAGGGCACATGGCAGTGAGGAGGCCAGAATGGTCCTGGGAAACCCAGTCCTCTTGCTTTGAAGAGGGGTAGGTCAGATTGCAGAGAACTTTCTGATAACAGCAGCATCTTCTGGAACTGCCTCTGAGGAAGTCTTTGTTGTAAGAGATCCCAAGCTGGCCAGACGTCCCGGGTCGGGGCTGTGGATGGGAGGGCTGTGGGCAGAGCAGAATGGTCCCCTGAGTCTGTGCTAACGTGAACGCTTCTAGGCTCAGCCTGGGCACGTCTGGGGCTCTCGGGTCATCACCAAGGCTGTTGGGTGGCCGAGCCCAGGGCACTGAGCAGGACTGGCCTCTGCCTTCAAGAAGCCCCTGCCGTCCTTGACTGCCCCCGGGGGCTGGGCCAGGGCTGGGTGGCCAGGTCTCCCACGAAGCTCTCAACAAGTTCCAGGCCTCTCCTTGCTCAGGCCACGCCCCCAGTCATCTCCCTCCTCCGCAGAGAGCAGGAAGCTGGAGGCGGCTGGTGGGGAGGGGGGCTCCTGCTGCCCTGTCCCAGCCCAGCGAGTGTGGGGCTGAGGACACCAGGGCTGCCAACCATTGGGCCTGGGTGCCAGGTCTCTCCAGCAGGGTCAGGGCTGGTTGAAAGCCCTGTGTGGTCCCCTCGTGGGCAAGCCGAAGGATCAGCCAGCCTGCCTCCATCCAAGTCGCCTCCTTGGCTGGCAGGCTGTCCCCTCTGCTTGGGTCACAGGGAGCTGTGGGGCTTAGCCAGGGAAAGTGGTCTGGAACAGCCCTTTGACATCGTCCCTGGGGCCTTTTAAAAATGAGTTTCCTGGTAAGGAAGACTCCTCAGGCCTTGGGCAGGATTCTCGGTAGAGTCTCCGGGGCTTGCTCTGATCGACAAAAGCCAGCAGAAACCACCCGGCCGCCAGCTTTCCAGCGTGCTCAGAGCTGACTGCAGCGTCAGCAGAATGCAGCAGCCAGGGCCCAGAGGGTTTGCTGTAAGGCCTGAGCTCGGGCCTAGAGTGGGGGCAAGCAGGGGAGCCCAGCTCAGCACTCTTCCCCCAAAACACATGCACATGTTCTCAGTTTCTCTAGAAATATCTAATGCCATTGGTGATGCCAGAGGGGCTTGTCCTGAATTGTGCCCAGCCCGTGTTGACATAGGGAGCTCTGGTGGCCTAATGGTAAGAAGGTGCACTGCCAACCTGAAGGCAAGCGGTTCGAATCCACCAGCTGCTCTGAGGGAGATGGACGGGCAGTCTCCTCTCATGCAGATTACTCTCTCTGAATACCATTTAGAGGGTCAACTATGGATCGGTTCCGACTCATGGAACCTAACCACGTAGTTTTGACAGCGACTGCAGCAGCGGGTGCGGGTGGGTCAGAGATGATGAGGATGGCACAGGATAGGACAGGCTTCAGGTATGTTGTCCACTGGGTCACTCTGAATTGTACTCAGCTCGACGGCACCTAACAATAGTGTGGATTTGGTGGACAGTGCCCAGACTGTCCCCACGGTCGGGAAGGAAGCATGCTTGTGGCTGTTCCCGCCTCTGCCACCTTCCTGCTTTTCTGGGACTGTCAGCTAGGTCTGGATCCGAAAGGCCTGCCAAGGGTGGTGGAAGAATGCAATCAAGGAAGCACAGGGCTGGTGAGAAGAGAAGAGACCACCAGGCCTGCTCCACATCCTGGCCCCTCCATACCCTAACTGCAGGGCCCAGAACAATTCCCCGCTCCCTCTGATTCTTGAGTTAAAACGGAAGTGGCCGTGAGGGTCTTGCACTGCTCCTGGACTGGGGCTAAGAAGCCAGTAGCCCCATGCCCTTCCAATAGGCATGGGTCTTGGTATCCCTTCTCCTATTGGGTTGATGCTTCACACCCAGCCAGCGCTGCATTTGGACTGCAGACTCGCTTGACCCTGGCAAGGGAAAGGGCGCTTGGCACTGGGATGCAGTAAAGCCAGCCTTCCCAGGTGGAGCAGGCCGAGACGGGGCCGGAGGAAGTGCTTCTCTGCTGGAGAGCTCATGAGGGGGTGAAGTGGGAGGTGACAGTACACGCTGCCCGCCTGGGAGCCTCCAGCAGCAGGTGCCCAGGGCTCGGGCTGTAAGAGCGACAGCAGCAGGCAGTAGGGAGGGCCGGAGCCTGAATGCTTTATAGAGGTTGCTTCAGAATGCTCATCTTACTGCCCCAGAAAGGAGCAGGGGCCACTGGCATGAGGGAGTTTTGACCCACTGCTCTGTACATACTGGCCAGGCCTCCAGGCGCAGACTGGGAACTGGCCTCCATGGCCTGAGAAGGGCTCAGGCCAGCCGCCTGGCCGAGTAGATGAGCAGACAGGTTTGGGCTGGCAGCTGTTGCACCAGATGGTCCGACCTAGAGCTCTGGATTCCCGGCCTGGCTCCCAGCTGCTGTCCACTCTGCAGCTTTGCCCAGAGGGGATTTAAGCACCTGCTGGGCCCCAGCCAGTCTTCTTTCACCCTGCAGTGGCTCCGGCTTCTCTAGGCTGCAGAGGACCCTGGACAAGGGCAGGGGCTTATTGCTAATGGGCTGGGCTGGGCATGTGGGAGTGTACACACCTGAGCAAAAGGGAGTGTGAGAAGAATAAGAGGGTGGGCGTCTCCCTGCCCTCTCTCGTCCTTTTACTCCATCTCCCTTTGGGGAGTGACGGTGGGGGCAGTTGGCCCCTCCTGCTAGCCTGAGAGAGTGAAGTTCACTCCCTGTGTGCCCAGGGGCCACCCCCCACTAGGGATGAGATGGGGGGCATTCCAGTGGCTTGCACACCTCTGTCCTCTGCCACTCACTTCCCTCCAGTTCTACTTAGCTCACCTGCTTTTGTGTCCATTCTTCATGGGGTACAAGTGCAGGGGTATCACAGGGGTTCCTAAAGCCTGCAGAGGATTTGTGCGCCGCACCCTCTCACGCAGGTCAGGAGAGCATGGCCCTCTGAGCCCCAGAGACATGCGGGGAAGCCGTGGTCAGGAATGACCACATGACCACAAGAGTGGCCTCTGCTGTCATCCTCAGGGAGCAGAAGCAGCCTTGGCATTTGGGGCCACATACAACCACGTGCAGGTGTCCCGTAGTCACTGCCCTCTGTACTGGCCTCCTACAGGCCTGGGGTAGACCGCCCTGCCATCTTCACCACTCCTCTCCCATTCTTTCATTCATTCTACACTTAACAAGCATAACAACACACCAGACCATATTCTCTCTGGGCTCTAGAATACCACAGTGATCCAAACAAAGGCCTGCCCGCACGGAGAGAGAGAGAGCGTGCGTGCGTGTGTGTGTGTGTGTGTGTGTGTGTGTTGGTCAGGTGAACTAAGGCTAAGTGCTACCAATAAAAGTGACACAGTGAAGGCTCAGAGCCATGGGAGCTGCAGGCCAGGCCTCTGAAGAAGTGACATTGGAAGGGAGACGTGGAGGGAAGAGCAGAGATGGCCATTGCTCTGCATGTGAGAAGAGGGCAGGGGAAAAGCCCTTAGATGAAGCCCTTCTCGGTCCTAAGGGAGTTTAAGAAAGGTCAGTGTGGCCAGGGCGGCAGGTGAGGGGAAGCACAGGAGACATGCAGTCAGAGGGGTGAGGGGATGGTGGTGGGACAGCCGCCCGGGGCCTGCAGAGGCCTGTCTCTCATTCTGAGTGAACAGACACCTTAGAGAGTTTGAGGTGTGTGAAGGCAGAGTCAGGCTGGAGTTTTTTTGCTGTGGGAGGAGTACACTGGGCATCCTCTGGGCTGTTGCTGTGATCCCCCTGGGGCTCAGCCCTCCTCCCCTCCCTGGGCCCCTCTGCTTCGTCCTCTCTATTCTTCTTCCTCCCCACTCCCTCAAAGTCCAAAATGGGAGAGAACCTTCAGGGTTGCCCCCCCTGCTGCCTACTACTCCTAGAGGACACCAGTTCCCCCCTTCCTCATCCCTCCTCCTCCTCCTCCTCACAACTCTCACTAGCCGTTACGGCCCCTTTTCACTCACGCCGGCCCTCCAGGCTTCTTCCTTGTTCGGCCACCTTGCTGTGTCCTGGTCCGGCAGGCTGTGCTCATCCTTTCTCACCCATCTCTGGACTCCCTCTGCTTTCAGTGTCTCTAAGGCCAAGGGGCCAGGTCTTGAGCTTGGGGTCAGGGCCATCCTGGAGCCCCACATGCAGAAGTCCGAGGTGCTGTCCTAGGTTGCCTCGGAGCTCCGGCTAGGCTTTCCTGGAATCTTGTTCTTTTTGTGCTTTGACCTTGGGGCTGGCTCATGGCCCAAGGGTCTGGGACATCCCGAGGACTTTGTCCTGGTTGCCTTGATGTAGGCTCTGAGCCAGCAACAGGGAGGTAGAGGCAGGAGCAGGAGATGAGATATGAGCGCAGGGGAGACCTAGAGGCTGGGACCTAGAGTTTGCTGTGGAGTGTGGAGGCTCAGAGTGGCCAGGCCTCACCCCCACCCTTGTGTTTCAGATCTGAAGCTGCATCTGCAGAGCACCGACTATGGTAACTTCCTGGCCAACGAGGCATCCCCACTCACAGTGTCAGTGATTGACGACCGGCTCAAGGAGAAGATGGTGGTGGAATTCCGTCACATGAGGAACCATGCCTATGAGCCCCTTGCCAGCTTCCTGGACTTCATTACGTGAGTGCACCCTCCAGCTGCTTCCCCCACACCCCCACTCCGTCAGGAGCAGGCCCAGCGCGTGTTCAGCCCGGCCATCCCTGTGCCTGTCCACCAAGCAGTCCCTTCACAGTCCTCTCGCCCAGTGACTGCGCTGCTTGTCCAACAGTCCTGGGCCTCCAGGTCCCTGGCCGTAAAGGGAGGTCACCAACCTCACTGCTGGCCGGGGCCTGATGGACAGGCAGGAGTGTCTCATGCTAGAGTGCTGGGTGAAGCTCTTTCCCAACACTTGTCTATAGAGGTTTGGATGGGACGACCAGGAAGGTGGGAGCCCTGTTCCTTTCTTACCCCCCAGTTCCCACACTGAACACTTGCTGGGCCCCCCTTCCAGTGCCTGTGTCCAGGGCCTGAGGGGTAGGCCATTCAAAGATGCTGACTATGTCTGCCTGAGACTCATTCTCCAAGTGCTCAGACCATGGCCTTATGTCTTACAGAGAAGGGGGCAGGGGGGCACCAAATGGCTGGCTGCCTTTCCCAGCTCTGGCACAAGCCCCCAGGATCCCAGATGGGCAGGGCCCCGTGCCGTGACTCTTAGCTTCCCATCGCCTGACCCTCTGGCACAGGGCAGCCTCTGCTTGCCATGTGTGCCCGCGGAAACAGGGAGCTGATGAGGCGTCTGCAGGGGTGGCCTTGGAGCCAGGGCCTAGTGGACAAAGAGATGGCCCCTGGCCAGGTGGCTGGCTGGCGCGCAGGTGGTGAGCAGAGGCGTGCTAGGTGGCATGCTGAGGGGAGGCCGTCCCAGGCGCGCTCTGAGTACTGAGGGGTTTTGATTGCTCCCTGATTGGGCCCTCACCCTCACCCTGCAGACCTGGCAGACCTACCCGCTTGGCCCTCAGTGTTAAGGTGCATGCCTGCTGCCTGGCCTCAGTCCCACTCTCAGTAGGAAGCAGCCACTTGCTCAAGATCATGGAGCTGCAATCAGAGCGGCCCCAACCTTGGACAGGAGGGGGACACCAAAGGCCTGAGAGGACCTGCCAAGGCTGGGAAGCAGGCCCTTTCCTGGCCACGGGCTCCGCTCCCTGGAGGCCTCCCTGCTGGCCTGGCTGGGCCTGGACCTTACTCTGCTGGCGTGGTCCTACTGGGGCAGAGGGTGAGAGGGGAGCGAGAGGGCGGGGGTGGGGCGTCATATGCTGCCACATTGGGGACCGCTCTGTACACCCATTGGTCATTCGATCCCTCGCCTGGGCCTGTGTGTCGCTGCGTCAGCGCCGGAGCTGGGGGTATGCCGGGAGGCCGCGTGCTTCTTGCTAGAGCCCAGCCTTCACCTGCAGTTTGTTTGCACAAGGCTTCTTTAGCTTCCTGATGAGCGCCCTCATCTTCCAGCGAGACCGGCCAGCAGAGGTTGGGCTCTGCCGGTGGCCAGAGGTTATCCGTCCTGCTGCTCACATGCCCACCTGCCTCTGCAGCTATCCCCCAACCTGTCTCGGTGCCCACGGCGGCTCAGTCTCAGCCTGCCAGGCTCTGAAACTAGAGAGGGCTCTGCATGCGGCTGCCTGGGGCTGCACAGCTGCCAGCTCTTTGCTGGAGGTTGGCTGCAAACACCAAGTGTGCTCAGAATGGCCCCGCTCTGGCCTGTGGCAGCCAGGCCGCATCCATTCATGGCCATTGTGGCTCCCAGTCCTCCCAGCCACCTCGCTCCTGCCCTCACCCGGGAAGAGCTCAGCAGCCACGTGTCATCCCGTCTGAGCCCGTGGCTGCTCCTTCCATGACCCCGGCATCTCTAGTGACCAGCTCCCCTGCTCCTCCACTCTCTTCCACTTAAGCCACCCCCACCAGCGGCTGCCCAGGGCTGTGTCACCACCTGGAACTGCTCCACCCCTGAAATCGCTGAGTCAGACACCCCCACTCTACCCACAGTCCTCGGGCCCTCCAGCCCACTCGGTCCCTTGCGGACACGGGTTCCGGACTCAGCAGGACACTGAGCCCCGCTTCCTCCCTGCTGCCCCTTCTGTCTTCATTTCCTCCCCTCCCCAGCTGCAGTTCCCTGGTCCATCACTCCGACGCTCTTCTGCCAATATCCGCAGCTCTCTTGGCTGCCTGTCTCCTGGTCCCGCCCGGCTGGCAGCCCCCCAGCCCTGGAGGAATCCCAGCAACCTCCAACTTGGAGCCACCCTCCCCCACTGCACTGCTGGGATGGGGCTGGGGACGCAGGGTCACTCCTGCTGCCAGACATGCCTGTCGATCAGCCTCAACTTGTCCCTGCCCAGCTGGCCTCTTGCGCTCGCTCCCTACTCAGCACCCTGCAGCCCCCTCCCAGGATGGGGAGACCACCTATCCATCTAAAGTACCATCCCTCCTCCTCCAGCCTCCTCTCTGGGCAGATGGCCCACCTCCTCCTCCACGGAGACAGTAGGAGCCAGGATGCCTCTCAGCGCTGCATCTGCACCCCTACCCCAGTCCAACGGCAGAGGCACCTCCTTTTCCAGGTCCTCCTATCAATAACCTAGACCCCTCACCACCACTTCCAGGACTGTGAAAAGCCATTCACTTGCACTCTTGTCAGTGTAGCCACTGCTTCCAGATTCTTCCCCATCAGTGTCTACAGCAGCAGTCAGATCTCTCCTGTCTTTAAAAACCCACCTGATAAGGCCCAAACTTCTGCCTTCATTCTTCTTTTAACCAGTCTACTTCGAGTTGTCCTGCCCTCTATACAAAGCCCTGGTGGAAGTCACCCCAGACCTTCAGGGTAGCCAAGGCTTCCAGGCACTGGTCTGATCATCCAATGAGCCCTGCCACCCCTCTTGTTGTCCCTCCAGCTATATCCTTCCAAGAGGCTTTCCACCAACCTCCAGGTTGCACCCACCCTGGTGTTGACCCTCGGGTCTGACTCCTACCTCCTGTTTGTTCCTCCTCTGCCTCCACCCTTCCCCACAAGGCAGAGGTGCTGCCAGATCATCCCAGGTGTGAGGAATATTGCAGAAAGCGGTGATCCCTTCCACTGGGGCCTGTGCCAGGGGACCTCCCATAGACTGGGGCTCTTTACTGGCTGCCCTGAAGATACAAATATGTTTGCCGAGGGGAAGGGTGTCTAAAGGAAGAATTTGGAGTTGGCAGTTCTAGGCTGAGGGAACCATGCCCTGGCTCTGTGTCCCCCATAAGCAGACTCTAGGTGTGGTGCCCCATCTGGGATGAAGAGGGTACCCCAGAGATGCTTAGCAGAATGCAGCTAGAGGGGAGAAAGTGCAGTCTGCAGGTGGTGGGAACATCAGCAGAGCCCTAACTTTGGTGCAGAGATTTGGCAAAATAGTGCTCTCGCTGCCCCCAGACACAGCTGGTCGGGACTCGTGGCAGCTCCAGGGACACAGCTGGAACCTTCCTGGAGGTCAGCTTAGCTCCATTCCTCGGAGAGTCTCGTGTTTCACGTTGGAGCCGCCCCAAGATGGCTGGAACACGCGCCCTCGAGGTGATGAGAACTGTCACTGAGGTGTCCACGCAGGAGCTGGTCGGGCCTCTTCCGCCTGCCCGTGTGAGCGACACCGCCTGCTGGTTTTGTCGACCCCTTTGTAGCCAACTTTCAGTTGGTCCATGTGTCTAGGACCAACCCTGGGCCAGGCCCACTGCCGGGAGGGAGATATCAGGATGCAGTGGTATACGTATCAGTGCGGTGTTGACAGATGTCTAGAGAGGCCTGCAGTCGCTGCAGCAAGTGGAGCCAGGCCATAGGTGGCCTCGCAGCATTCAAGGGACTGTAGGTCAGGTGGCATTAGAGGGACCACTCCAGGCGGGTGGCTGGAGCAGGGGCGGCTGCCTGACCCTGAGCAGGAGGCTGCCCTCAAGTAGACGATCACCAGTCGTTTCGATCACCAGTCGTTTCATTTTGAGATGATCTAGATCCATTTCAGGGCGATGACACGTGTTATGTCATTGAACCAAGGGTTGCAGGCAGGGAGGAGAAGAGACCCATCAGACTGGAAGAGTCACACCCCGTATGAACTTATTGCTTTCTTCCATTGAGGAAACACGTGGCGGGCAGGAGGGCAAGCGTGGCGCCACCATCACTGCCAGACGAGGCAGCAGCATCCCCTGGCAGCCACCAGCACCTGTAAACGAAGCCCACGGCCGAGCTGGGCCTCCCTCAGGCGTTTTCATCCTCTCTGGGCAGGGTGTTTTCTCACTCAGCGTCACTCCTCTTGCTCAGACGTGGAGGCTCAGGAGACTGGCCTCGCTACCAGGCTCAGCCACTGACTTGCGGTGTCACTTGGAAGAATGGGAGTCTCTGTGGTAGAGGTTTGGGGCGTTGGAGTACATCTTGGTCTGAGTCACTGTCTGATGAAGCTTGTAGGTTGCGAGGCAGGAACCTGGTCTCTAGGGACCCGTGGGTAGGCAAACCTGAAAGACCTGTGTCCTTGGGCAAGTGCGCTGCCCTGGAGGTACCCACCGCAGTGCGCAGCCCCTGCATGCAGCCCAGGTGCCTGTTGGCAGAGCCTGGCTTGAGGCTCCTGCCAGAGTTCTTCCTTCGTGCCAGTGGCCTCAGTGGCACCAACCTGGAGCTGACTGCTGCGTCCCAAGACTGGACCTGCTGGGTGGCAGAAGGGCATCAACGTTTTTTCAGGCAGCCCTCTCCTGGCCCTCTGGCCTTCCCCACAAGGGTTTCTGCGTCAGAGGCTGGGCCCTGCTGTATTGTCAGACCCTTGCTCCGGGCCAGTGGCAGGTGTTCTGAGTAGGGAGAGTACTCGGGTTTCCTCATGAGCGCATTCTGCTACACGTACACTGAGGAGGGACAAGATCTGGATGAAGAGACATTCAGAGCCACGCTAGCTCTGATAGACCTCACCTAGCCATCTTGGTTACAGAAAGGAAACTGAGGCTTGAGAGGGTGGTATGCTGAGGCCAAGGCTAGTGTTTCTCTTCACCTTCCACCCTGCGCAGGACTCTGCAGGACCCCAATGGTTGAGCACAGATACTGTCACAGTTAGTGCGTGGCAGTGCCTGCTCAGAGCTGCTGGTGAGTAGGCAGGTAGGGGCTACCTGGCCGCCTCACAGGCCCGGGAAGCAAGCCATGGTGCTCCAGCAGGTGGCGCCAAAGGGCATAGCAGCTAGGGCTCTCGGGCTCTGCAGGCTGGCTCGAGGAAGTGGCTTCCTAAACACCATCATGACACTTCTCTGGGCCAAGCTGAGTCTTGAAAGGACAGGGAGAGAGCAAGCGAGCCTGGGGTAGAGACTCCCCGCCCCCCACCCCCACCCCACAAGGACCTCTCTGGCCTGGCAGGCAGCCGGCGTCCACTCCCCAGCTGTCTTCTTCTGGAGGGAGACGCTGACCAGCTGGAACCTCATTCTCTCTTATTGAGGCCAAGTGAGGGGAGGAATGGTGGAGTGGCCTTCTGGGGGCAGGGAGGCAGCTGCAGAAACCAGGCAAGGAGGAGGAGGGGTTCCCTGCCTGCTGAAGGCCTTGACTTTGGGGAGCAGGCAAGCAGCTGGGCCATCATCCCCTCCGCCAGACCCGCCCTGCCTCCTTTCTCCCAGGAATGAGGGTTCTGGTCTCCACTGAGCAGGAGATGAAAGTAGACGCTCCGCCCGGTAGAGCGAGCCACTGCAGGGGCGCTGTCACAGTGAACCTTGTCATCTGCCTGGGCAAGGGGTGTGCCAGGTTCCACATGCCCAGCCCCGGCACAGTGAGCCCCATCGTCCACCCAGATAACCACGCACACCTGGCCTTGCGTAGAAGGGGTCCTGCTGGGAAGGATGAGATGACAGTGGCCCCTGCTTGGCTCAGCTTTTACCTTGTTCCCCAGCTAGCCAGGGGTCCTGGCATGGGCCTGACGCCTGCAGTCAGGCTGACAAGAGACTCGTACCTGGTCTGCTGCACATCACTGGAGGGACAGCAGCAAAGCCAGGTGGCAGTGTCCTCCTGCAGAGCCCTCTGTCCAGACCTGGGCCAGAACCTCAGGGGTGCCAGAGCACCTCCCTGGGGCCCCACCCCTGCCCTGCCCTCAGCATAGACCAATTCCTTGAGTCATGTTTGGAGGGGTTTTCAAAGTGGAAAAAGCTGGCTTGTGGGGGTTCCTGTGATAAGACAAGGCTGAGCAGAGTTGCAAAGCCAGGCCATGGGACCCCAGGCATTGGCCTACGGAGCAGTCTGCCTTCTGGTACTGCAGGGCCTGGTGCTACCCTCTGTTCTGTGTCTCCCCTGACAGTGGGCGGGTGGTTTTGGTGTTTCTGGGGTCATACAGATGAGACGAGCCTGAGAGGTATTCAAGGAGGCCTGGTGGTGCAACAGTTAAACACTCAGATGCCAGCTGAAAGGTTCCTGATTTGAACACACCAGCATCTCCGCTGCCTGAAACCTGGCAGCCCGCTTGTTAAGACGCACTCGCTCTCTCACTCGCTCACTGCCGCTGAGTCAGAGCCGACCCATAGCTGACTGCCTAGCGGCAGCGGGTTTCCAAAGACTATAAATTGCACAAGAGGAGATTGTTCATCTTTCCCCAGAAAAGCAGCTGGTGGATTTGAGCCTCCTGCCTTTCTTTGGGTTGGCAACACAATTCCTTGACCACCAGGCCACCTGAGCTCCCTCCTGTAAAGGCGACAGCCTGGGAAACCCACTGGGACCATTTTACTGTGTCTAAAAGGTTTGTGGTAAATGAATGGTGCTCTGGTGGCTTAGTAGTAAGGAGTTGTGCTGCTAACCCAAAGGCATATGGTTCGAATCCACCAGCTGCTCTGTGGGAGAAAGATGGGTAGTCTCCTCCCCGCGTAATTTACTGCCTCTGAAAACCCACTGGCGGGTCAGTGATGTGTTGGCTCCGGTTCAAACTAGATAGCACACAGCAATAACAAGGAAAGGGGGTGGTGTAGAGTTCTCCCCTTCACTGTTCAAGGGTTGTGGAAACATAAAGAATGTCCTGAAGCTCACAGGCCAGTCTGTGGGGTCGCCTCAAGGTGCATGTTGGCTGCTGTGGGGCTGGATGTGGGGGCGTTTGGTAGGCAGAGATGTGATATCGCGTGAATCTTGGGGCACATGAGATGCTGTAGTCTGGGCTAGAGGTGTGTCCAGGGTAGAAGATGGAGTCCGAGCACAAAGCTCCAGCAGGCTTCCTCTTTGAGACTGGAGGCAGAAGGCTAAGGCTGGCCGTTGGGCCTCTTGGTACACAGCAGTAAATGGGCCCTGCCTAAGGCACTGTTTGAGAAGGAGGGGCCTGTCCCTTCTCAGTGCACATCCCAGAGCTGACCCAGCCGGATCAGGGGTGGAGAGAGGGCAGCTGCCTGGCCCCAGGCCCAGGAGAGCAGAGGTCATAGCAGGGCGCCGGGCGGTGGAAGCTGGGGGAATGTGCAGCCGATAGGGGGAGCAGGGTTCAGGCCAGGACAGAGCTGTGGTCTCTTCCGTTTTGCCACCTTCCTGCAACTACCCTGGAGGTGATAGAAGCTACCTCTGAGCGCAGTAAGATCTCAGGATTTGGTCACTACTTCCTCGTGTTCTCCTGCAGTTTTTGATGGCCATGTCCTCCCAGGGCTCTTCCCTGAATCCTCAGCACTAGGGGCTCAAGAAACTCAGGGAATGGGTCCAGCTCAGGACACACAGGAACCAGGGTGTGGCATCACTCCATGCCGGGCCCAGGCACAGCTCTCACTCTTCCATGGGGGCCCTGCCTTGGCCTTGGAGAACATTCTCTGCAGGTCTCATTCAACTTCCATGCACCTCTGAGTTCATCTCTGATGAGATGTTAGTAGACAGTTGAGGCCTAGGCCTCTTTCCCCGTCTAAGTAACGACACAGAACTGTCTGCACCGGCCCCTTTGCAGCCGCGGCTCATTGGTTGAAGGCACAGCCTTGCCTGCTTCTCCCCAGCTCCACAGCCCCCTCTGCTGCCCAGGCCACCATCCAGGGCTGGCCTTGTGTAGGGCAGAGCCTCGGCCAGCGTCAACTGGAACTGACCTAAGCCCAGCCTCCTGACCAAGCTCCTGGGTCTCCTCCACATTGTCCTGCATTGATGCTAGCCCTGATTTGGAACCCAAAGAGAAGAGGCTGATTCTTTGTTTTGAAAGTGGGGCTCTATGGGGAGCTCTCTTCCTGTTCTCTCTCTACCTGACCTGGAGACCCCCTCTCTGCCTTTCCCTAAGGACGCTTCTCCCCACCCTCTTCCTCAGCCTTTCCTCCCCATCTCCACCTCCCTTTCACGTCATCTGTCCCCACCCTCCAGCCAGAGAAGTCCTAACTGGACCATGATGCTGCCTGTTTACATCCACTCAGGGGCCCCTAGCACCTTTGATCTGAAGTTAGGATCCATGGCTCAGCCGGCAGGCCCAGCCTCCAGGCCTCACCCTCCATCAGCGCTGGGCTTCATTCCTGCCAATTCTGATCATTCTCAGGTTCACAAATGCGTCCACACTGGGGGTCTCCGGGCCTTTGCACACGCCCCTTCCCTCCTCGGTCCTTTTCCCTCTCCTGTTCCTGCCTCCCCACCACCAGTGGGCCTGTGTGCCTTACCTCCACGTACCCACGTGAGCCCATGTGTCCTCATTATCTTATGGGGCTGGACACCCCCACTCACCACAGAGGGCTCACGTCCTCCCTTCCCTCCTGATGCGGGAGTAGGGGACACACAGGGCAGCAGGGAGGTGAGCCAGCAGTGCTTATTCAGAGGCCAGGGCTTTGGACCACACCCCTGACTGGCGCCTGTGTCGCTGTGTGCCTCCCGCAGTTACAGCTACATGATTGACAACGTCATCTTGCTCATCACCGGCACGCTGCACCAACGCTCCATCTCCGAGCTGGTGCCCAAGTGCCACCCACTGGGCAGCTTCGAGCAGATGGAGGCCGTGAACATCGCGCAGACCCCTGCCGAGCTCTACAATGCCATCCTGGTGGACACGCCCCTGGGTGAGCCACTGCTGGAGGAGGGAGGAGATGGGGGTCAGCACTGGTTACCTCCTCTTGGGCTTCATGGACCCCCTGCCACCCTCTGCTCACACTCCCTTCTGCTTGTCTTTACCTCTGCTCAACCTTTCAGGCCTGACTCCGGTCACTTCACTTTGTCCAACAGCCTATTCCCCAGAAGACAGGAGAGAATTGAGCTATAGAGAAAGGCTTGTATGCCTTGGAGTTCAGGAGCCCTTGAGCACAAACTGTGGTCACAAGCTGGGGCCTGTGCAGATCTGGATGGGCTAGATAGGCAGAAAGAAAAGGAGCAGACGGCTTCACTCGGCCCTGCTGACAGGTCCAGGGGCTGATCTAGACTGTGCCCAGCAGGGTGCAGGTCCTGTGTCAGAGGCCTGGGAAGGAAGGAGAACCAGGCATTTCCTGAAGGGACTCCTCTAGGTCATGTCGGCTCCAGCCCGTCCTGGAGGCTGGGGAGAAAGCATTGAGAAGACCACAGAGCTGGAGTCCTGGACCCCAAAGCACTAACTTCCAAGAAGCTGCCAAGACTGAGCCAAGGACTCTAAGCTGCACGCGGTCCTGGGCCGAGGGGCCTGAGCCCTACCTGCTGGCCTGCCTGCCCTGCACTTTCAGTAACTCTGAGCTAATTCTGGGCTGTTTGTGGCTTCAGTTTCTCCATCTGAAAGAGGAGAAAGGCCAGTGAAAGGCCCTCCTGGGAAGTAAAAGTGCTCGGTCCCACTCCAACCTCTGCTTCCAGCCTGACAGAGCCCCCACTCAGTCACTGGTCCATGCCCACTAGCTGTCAGGCTCATCTCTTGTTCTAAGGAGGAAAAGGCTAATTCTCCTAACATGGGCCCCAAGCCCCTGGGGGATGTAGAGAAGCAGGCACCAGGCCCTGAATCCGCAGCTGCCCCTCTAGAAGGGAGGGTGTCCCAGCCTCTTATGCAAGTCTGCCTTTGGCATGGTCCAACTTTGGGTCTGCCCCAGCAGTGATTAGATCATGCTGTGGCTGGCCGCCTCCTTTATAAATCAATTTTAGGAGCAAGAAGGCAGAAGCTGTCCAGGTCAGTCCACAAGGCCCGGAGTATTGTTTCTGCCTCTTGTAAGGCCGTAGCCCAGGACTGGTAGGACACCTTCCTCCTGTCCCTCCCTCCTCCCTATGCCTAGCCAGCTGGGCCTGTGATGGGTGGGGCCCTCTGCACCCTGCAGAGTACCCTGACCTACTCCACTTGCCCACCCCTCACACTCTTGACTCCCCTGCCCAGCGGCTTTTTTTCAGGACTGCATCTCAGAGCAGGACCTGGATGAGATGAACATAGAGATCATCCGAAACACACTGTACAAGGTAGGGCACCACACACGCGGTAAAGGATGGGCTGTAGGTGGGCGGGGCCCTGGAGCACAGGGGGACAGTGATTTACATGGGGTGCTGAGACAGGACTCGGCCACGCCAGGCTCCTGTCCCCAGGGGCTTATCTGCTCACTGGCTCCCGTGATGGGCGCAAGGCTTCATGGAACAGGTTCTCCGTCTCGTGGCGCCTGACGCGGATCCAGATAAGATCAGCAGGAGGGGCTGGTGCGGCACAGCCTGGCCTGTCAGAGCTGGCTCGTGGATGACTGCTTCCCCTGCACCCAGGAGGGTCACGGGCCACGGGCCACCACCCAGACCATAGACCTCGTGCCCCACCTGGGCCGTTTAGCAAGAACAGACATTGGAGCAAAGGCAGTTACCATGGGGGTGGGGAGCCACCCAGGCGTAACCAGGTCCCTGTGTCCCTTCCAGGTTTCCAGGCCCAAAGCCAGCACCACTTCCCACCCTTCCTGTCCCCCACTCACCTTGTGCTCTCATCTGGCCTGTGCCACAGGCTCTGCCCAGAGAGCATGGCTGTGGGATTCCTGGGTTAGCTTAGAGAGGTGTAGAGCAAAGGTGGATCCAAGGAAAGGCGCTGGAACGCTTAGGACTGACCAGTCGCTGAGCTGTGGTATGAGGATCCTCGGTGGGCCTCAGCCAGGAATGGGGATCAACGGTAGGCAGGTCCCAAAGAGGGGTGAGAGTGGCACTGGCCCGGGGACCCGCCACCTGTCAGATCTTTCCAATGATGGCCCTCACCTGCCGTAGTTGGAACTCGCTGGTGGACACCAAGATGCAGCCTGAACCCAGACCCTTTAGCCTCTCTGAAGGAACTGGGCTGGACAGAGCACAGACGGGGCTGGTGGGAGGCGAGGATCTCGCCTGGAGGTTGCAGTGATGCGAGCTGCGGGACAGGAGCTGCTGGCAGAAAACGTGGTGCCCCCAACAGATAAAGGTGGTTGGTCTGTTGTGGCTCAAGTACAGGCTCAAGATGAGCATCGAGAGAGGGGCCAGGAAGAGGAGGCAGGCACAGACACTTGCACCGTGGGCAGGGTCAGCCAGTGATGGTTCCTAGCAAGCTGAGTATCATCAGGAAGTCCCCTCTGGCCATTGTGTGAAGGATGCATCAGAGGGGGCAAGACCAGAGGTAGGAAGATCATTGACGGACTGCTTCAGTCCTCAGTGCATCCCTGTGAGCTCGGTGTGCAGCACTGTCTCCGTCTAGAAGATGGGAAACGTAGGGCTCAGAGAAGCAGGTGGGTTGTCCGAGCCACACAGCAGGCTCCTGGCAGAACTATGCTTCACACCTGACCCAGCGTGTTTGCAAAGCCAGTGCTTTTCACCTGCCCGCTAACCAGGAGACCGGCCAGCCAGGCTGCCGAGTGTGTGTGCACACGCGCTTCGGGGGCCCCTACCTGCCCATCTGGCCTATTGCCAGGCTCCCTGCCCAGGGAGAGGGGTGTGGCTGTCCCCCAGCCTCACCCATACCCTCGCCCTCACCGGGCCTGACTGGTTCCAGCTAGAGCTGCTGGTGAGGGCTGCCTGGGCACCAGCTCGTAAACACCAAGCCAAATGCTACAGGCCCTATGCCAGGGCCTCCCGCTCATCAAACCATGTCCCAGCCCAGTGGTCACAGATGGGAGATTAGGTGGACCCTCAGCTGGCCAGCTGGTGGGAACTCTAGGCAGCTGGGACAGCAGCTTCCAGGTGGGTGTGGTGGGGAGGTGACCTTGATACCTGGGCCTCTGGGTCTTGCCAGCTTGCTCACTGCCCTTATTGTCAGGGGAGGATCTGGCTTGTCCCACCAGATCCCCCCCCACCCAGGAGTTACCTGTCCAGGGATCTGCACAGCCCTGCTAAACTCATGGACAGGGAGCAGGGCATGGAGTCTGAGAACTGGCTCACACCTTCCTCCAAGATAAGGAATTGCAGGCTCCACTGGGGCCATCCTTGGGATTCACACGAAGTTGACTTGGCTGGCTTCAGGGAATGCAGAGGCTGGAAAGGGACTCCTGGGGGACTGAGCACCACTAGTATGTCAGGGTTGATAGCGCTCTCACTCCTGCCTTCTGACACCAGGGGATCATGTGCTGGTGTCCCTGTCCCCCCCCTCTAGGCATCATCTTCTTCTACCTGCCCTAGATCTTTGTTTCCTGTGACTCAGTGGTTACTCCCAGGCCTTCCTCTGAGCTCACCTTGTCCACTGCTGCCAGACTAAGCTCATGGATTTATGTGGCGCCCCCCTCGCCCCCCAGTCTCCTCAACTCAGGAGAACAGTGTCTATGACCAGGCCACAGATGGGACTAGGAGGGGAGGAGTCCTGAGTGAAGAGGGCTCCTCACTGAGACTGCAAACCCCTTCCCCAGCACACGGGTAGGAAGGAAACTTGCCTGGTTCTGAGCGTGGGCACTGGGAGGGCCTGGACTGACCCATCTTCCCCTTAATGCCCGGCAGATCCAATTTGCCTGGGCAGGAAGTACTTGTTCCCACCGACAGCTGAGGCCCCAGCCACTGCCTCACACAGCTGACGTCTTCCCGGGCAATAACCATCCCTCAGCAGACACTGGGCTGACAATTTGGTTTCTGCTCTGTGATGCCCGGGGGCTACCTGGGACACAGGAGGTGCAGGTTTTCTGACATGGTGCAGAGTTGGGGCCAGGGCCTGGCAGAAGTCCGGCCACCTGCTCCATCCAGGCCATCCCTGGGAACTCAGGAGTCCCCTTCCCTCACCAGTGTCTGGACACCATAGGCCTGGCTGGCCAAGGAAGAGGTGACTCAGGAAGATTTGGCAGTGAGGGAGGCAGACCGAGCAGCAGGAGAAAACAGGGACTCCCCCTGCGCCTGGCCTCCTGTGGGGGCACTGTGCCTGGAAGCAGGGGGTCAGCAGCCCTGTCTCTCCTGCTCCTTCGCGAATTAGCAGTTGGAATTGGTGCATGTTTCAGAGGCTTTGACATGAGGGCTGCCCTGGCTCATCCATGGATATGGTGTTTGGACTCATGAAAGGGGCTGGGGAGGGTGAGGGCAAGTAGTGGGCAGCCACAGCCCCTTCCCCAGTCTCCCTGCCCAAGCTGAGCAGGCCCCATGCTCCGAACAGGCCTACCTGGAGTCTTTCTACAAGTTCTGCACCCTGCTGGGTGGCACCACAGCCGATGCCATGTGCCCCATCCTGGAGGTGAGTGCCCATCACCCCTCCTGCCTGCTGCCCAGTCACACTGGTCAGGGGAAGCTCTGGCCACTGACTGCCCACTGCCTCCCTCTCCCTCTGCCTCCTGAACGCCGGCCTCCCAGTTCGAAGCTGACCGCCGCGCCTTCATCATCACCATCAACTCCTTCGGCACGGAGCTGTCCAAGGAAGACCGGGCCAAGCTCTTTCCGCACTGTGGGCGGCTCTACCCCGAGGGCCTGGCCCAGCTGGCTCGGGCTGACGACTATGAGCAGGTTAAGAACGTGGCTGACTACTACCCGGTGAGTGCCCTGGCTGGCAGGATGCTGGGTGGGCATCTTGGCGCCACAGCTCCTTACCCAACAGCCTCCATACGCTCGCTCATGCTTCCCATCCCTCCATGGGCCAGGAGTACAAGCTACTCTTTGAAGGTGCAGGCAGCAACCCCGGAGACAAGACGCTGGAGGACCGCTTCTTTGAGCACGAGGTGAGTGCACGGCCGGCTCACCCCAGGGAAGGGCCAGCGGCAGAGACTGCTCTGGACAAAGCCCTGCCTCTGTCCACAGGTGAAGCTGAACAAGCTGGCCTTCCTGAACCAGTTCCACTTCGGGGTCTTCTACGCCTTCGTGAAGCTCAAGGAGCAGGAGTGCCGCAACATCGTGTGGATCGCCGAGTGCATCGCCCAGCGCCACCGCGCCAAGATTGACAACTACATCCCCATCTTCTAGCACCCTGAGCGGAGGCTCCCCACTGTGCGCCGTGTGTGTCTGTGCGTGTGTGCTGTGACAAAGCCCTGGGGAGGGGGGGAACGCAGCTGCCCAGCTCACTGATACAGCACTCGGGTCCAAAGTGGGGCTGGGCACCTACTCCCCACTCTAAGGAGGGACCAAACCCTCTCCGGAGCCAGGAAGCCCCTTAGTCTTGTGTTTACAGCCATTGACGTGTCTGAGAAGCATGTGATCACTTTCACGTCCCCCCCTAGCCTGAGAGCCCCTGAGGGCAGTGAGCCTCTACCCCCAAAGCCCCCCACTGTGGGTCACCCTCAGGCCCCAGGGGAAGGATAGAGTGTGTGTGCTGGGGGTGGGGGAAGTCACGCCACAGCTCCCTTCCTGAGAGGATAATAAAGCTGCCCCTCTGAACCCATCTGTCTTCTGTCTCCTTTGGGCTCTAGTGCTTCTCCAGAATGGCCACTTCTCTCCTTACCCCTCCTCACTGACTTCTCCCTCTCGACTGGCAACCCTAGGCTGCTCTTCTCTGCCCTGACCAGATTCCTTGGGGGGAGTCTAGTGGATAACCCCGACTGCTGCTGGAGGCTTAGCTGGGAGCTGCTTCTGACTGAAGGTTGCCCAGCTCCCCCTAATCGATTGAGCCCCACAGCCCTCTGGGATCAGGGTCATTCTCTCCATTTCAGTCTGAGGAAACCCAAGCCCGTGCATAAATGACGTGGTGACAATGTAGAGTGTAGTGGTATGAGCCACAGTCTACCCAGTCTGTGCCCCGAGCCTTGCCAGGGGCCTCCCCAAGGGGTCCCCAGCTTCTGTCATTCAGCTTATACCCTGTCACTGAGACAACCAGGCAGACACCCTCTTCAAACACGACCTCTTCTCCACTCTAGGAGAAATAAAAATGTGTCTTTATTTAAAAAGTGGCAATCCAGCAAATAGATTATGCAGCCTCCTTCGGGCTTGGGGTGGGCGACTGGGGTTCTAATTTTTGAGCCAGTCAAGAGGCAGTTGGGAGTCACCCTTTGAATCTCGGCATTGAGGTACTGGGGCCAAGAAACAGTCCTGAGAGGGTCCCCAGTCACACCATAGTTGCAGCCGCCCCGTCTGTGGGTCCTATAAAGGCTAAGTCTTGCACTATACTCCCATCCAAGCCAGAGGGTGGAGGTGGTCCCCAGGAAAATCTATTTGGGCACTCGGGTGAGCAGAGAGGCTGGGAGACTCCCTGGAAAACCTCAGCCTCACTGAGCCTGAAATGAGGCCCCCTCATGGGGCTGGCTCTCTAGGCCAAGACTTGGGGGCTTACAGTGCCCAGGAGGGCCACGGGCTCTGGGAGCTTCCTGTACTGGAGTAGCTGGGCCAGGTAAGGTGCCCCTGCTCACCTGGAGGCAGCTGGGGAATGGCCTGGGTTTGGGGGTGAGTCCTGTGAGGGGGGCGGGCCGGGTTGGCCTGGCTGCAGTGCTCGGGGCAGACAGTGACTGATAAAGAACATTTGGAGGAAGCGGCGCCGGAAAGCCTCAGGCAGGTAGAAATGGATAAAGTACATGAGGCCCAGGCCCTGGCCTGGGTAGTAGCGTCGTCGAGGCTGGGCAGCTAGCAGTGCATCGGTGATGGAATCCACGACCGGGCTGAGGTCCGGGACCGCCAGGCGGAGCGAGTGCAGGAACTGCTGGTGCAGGTGCTCCACGTAGTCCTCGCCGTAGGCCTGTAGCAGCTCAGGCGGCAGGTCGGCCAGCAGCAGCTTTTTCCGAAGCTCCCACCGATTCACGTCCAGCACAGACTCTGGGGCACGAGTAACAGGGTCAGGCCACAGCTCGACCGAAAGCCCATTCCTCAGCTCTGACCCTGCCCCATAAGACCCTCCCAGCCTCCTTTTCCCAGGCCTGTTAGGTTCTGTTCGGTTGATTCTGTCTCACTGTGACCCCAGGTACAACAGAAAGAAACATCAGTCATTCCTATGCCCTTCTCACAGTCACTGCTGACCCTGTGAACAATGGATCTGAACCTTGCCCTACCCTGTGCCATCCTCCGCATCTCTAATATACTTGGGCCCAGGAGTCCCCCACGAAAGGCCCTGTTAAGGAACTTGGGTGGCCTAGCGGCAAGGAATTGCACTGCTGATCCAAAGGCATGTGGTTCAAGTCCACTAGCTGCTCCACAGGAGAAAGATGGGCAATCTCCCATGCAAGTAAAAAGCCTCCAAAAATCCGTTGGACGGTCAACTATAATTCAGTTCTGACTGCACAATACACAACAACAAAGCCTTGACACTGAGCCCGCCCTTCATTGGGTCTCGCTCTCAGCCCAGGTCCCTACCTGTCCTGAAGCAGCCAGGCTGGATGACGCTGACCTTGACCCCCCAGGGCAGAAGTTCACAGCTGAATGTGTCCATGAGGAGCACCATGGCTGCCTTGGACGCCCCGTAGGCCGCCAGACATGGGTATGGCATGTCTCCTGGAAGTGGAGTGGAGGGCAGAAGGCAGCAGCTCAGCCTTGTCAAGGGCTCCCCCAGGCCTCCCTGGCTTCCACCCTCCACCCCCTGCCCCAGCAAGGGAGGAGACTCCGAGAGGACTCACCAGCAGGGCTCCCTATAGTCACGATTCGGCCCCTGGAGCGGCGTAGCAGCGGAAGGAGCCCCTTGGTCAGCTCAAGCGTACCAAAGAAGTTGATCTCCATGCAGTGTCGGAATGTGGTCACCGGCGATAACTCCACATCCGCCACTACTTCGTTGTGTCCGGCATTGTTGACCAAGCCCCACAGGCCTGAGGGCACAGATCAGAGAGGAGAGAGCAGGTCAGCCCAGGTCAGCCCAGACGTGACATCCCAGACCCTGCCTGACTTGAAACCTTCCTGGTCCTCTCCCTGGGGGAGAGTGCCTCTGCACGCTGACCTGTGCTGGACGTGTGAGCTTTGGTGAACTCCAGAACGTGGTTAATGTCCTCTGACTTGGTCAGGTCCATCTGCAGCAGCTTTAGATGAGGGGAACAGCAGGCGCGTAGCTCTCGGGCACCGGGGCTATCCAGGTCCAGCACAGTGGCCAGCACTGTGAAGCCCATGGCATCCAACTGCTTGGCCGTCTCTTTGCCAAAGCCAGTGTCACAGCCTGGCCGGGATAAGACAGCCAGTAAGCTCCAGCCAGACAACCCAGGGTTACCAGGATCACTGGGGTCACCCTTGTCCCTGGGCTCATCACTGGGAGCTTTCATTCTCGAGCTGAGCACCTACACAACCACCTCCACAGCATCATCTCGCTGCCTTTTTCCTTATCCCATAAAGTATAGCATTTGAACCCACTTTACAGATCTGGAAATTGAGGTCTAGTAATGTTAAGCCACTTCTCAAAGTCTCTCAGGGAAGACTAAGGTCAGGACTGAGGCCCAGTGCCAGTCCTGATGTCCATCTGCTGCTTGATACCAGGTGACAGTGCCCGGGCCAGAGCCTCCCTTCCTCCCTCACTGCCCTGGTCCTGTTTCCTCCTCCCTGCACCCAGACACTGGAGCAGCCCCCCTCTCTAGTCCTCTCATCTTACCCTGTTGGATCTGTGCTTTACCTAGCAGCCAGAAGGACCTTTCCAAAGATGACAATATCACTCTGCTACTCAGAACCATTCCAAGGCTCCCCACGGCCCTTAGGAAGAAGCCCAAGCACTTGGCTCTTCGGGTCCAAGACACCCTGATTCCCACTCCCTTCACAGCCCCATCCCCCCCTGTTACTGTCTCAGGGTCAAAGCAAGTTGGAGGCTCACCTCCACCTCCCCTCTGACTCCTTCCATCCCCTCTGACCCCTACTTTTCCCCCCTGACCCCTACCATTGGAATTCCAATCCACGAGAACAGCCCTGGACCCCTTGCCTCTGGTAAAGGGACCATGATGGATGCAGAAAGGAAGAAACCAGCACTTGAATTCCTTCTGACATCCCCCTCCAAGTGTGACCTGAGGTCAGTTACCACTCAAGAAGCCTTCATTTCCTGTCCTGGGTGAGGAGCGAAAGGAAGCAGCAGGCAGAGCCAGTCAGGGGCTCAGTGGTGAGTGGTGCCTGACAACTGCCTGCTTCTTTGTTTTTCCCTTTCTGATCCTGGCTCTGTGGGCGGCCAGCGAGGGGAGTGCGGGGAGGGCCCTCAGAGGAGGAGGCTCTGTGTGTCTGATCCGGGTGGTCTCAGAGCAGCAGCAGAGCTCTCTGCTTCCCTTCTTCTGGACAGCTCGACACCCCTCTCCAGATTCTCACTTGCCCCCTCTGCTGAAGCGGAGAACAAAGCTGGGCAGGGGGCTGTAAGCTGGGCTTTGTACAGAGGGTCCTTCTAGACCATTCTGTCTGGGGGTGGGACTTGAGCACGTGGGTGTCCACTTGCTTCAGCTTCCTCCCACGGAAGTTTCCTTCTACCCTGGGCTTCCCGGAGCCTCAGCTCTGTGGCCTGGACACAGACACCCACACCTTGCAAACACTCCTGCTCTCTTCCTATATGTGCCAGTATGTACCTCCACCTTGTCTGGACATAGACACAGGTTGATGCTCATTTACCCAGGCACTGTTGTTCACATGCCTAAGTGTGGATACATGCAGCCTCACACCCCAAACCCGACCCCAGTGGGGCTAAGCCCTAAAGGGCCAGAAGAACCCTGGCCAGCCATTCATAGAGGCATTCTCCAGGTGACCTGCCTGTCTGTGGAGAATGGGAGGTAAGGAAGGGCCTGGTCACTTACTGGGCCTGGAGCTGAATGGCCAGTTTGTAGGCTTTGGGAAGCTTGGAGACCTGCTCTACCTGTTTGCTCAGGGGTGATTTAACAGTCCTCCCCACCTACTGGCTTTGCAGCCAGAGATTGGGGATCCTAAGTCACAGAACGTATCCCCTTCCTCACCTCACTCTCAGGCCAGAGCACAGGTGAAAGACTACCAGCAGCACAAGGACCTGAGGTGAGAGTTCAGCAGACTGCCTCTCCATCTCCCTAATTCATACCAGCCATGGCCTGGGTCCTGTGGAGGCAGCTCACAAGTTAAAAGGCAGAAGGAAGCTGACCTGTGCCTCGGGGCAGAGCCCACAACTTAGTCCCTGCTTCACACCAGGAGGGTCTGTTCTTCCTTCCTTGAGCCCCTGAAACTGGAATCCACCCTGGCTTCCCATCCTACCTTGAGTCTGGGTTCCTGAAACTGTGGTCCCTGAGGCTAAGTGAGAAATGTCTGAGTATCTCTCATTCATCCTGGGACCCTGCCTCCACCCCCAGCCTCTCTGTGGAAGGCCCTGTAGGACCCAACAGTCTGTTTCCTTACCTGGCATTCAAAGTTTCTGCCAAGAAAACACAACCTCACATCCAGCACACTCCCGGAGCCAGACTGTCCCCCAGGCGAGGCGGGACACATTCATTCCTTCCTCAAGCCTCTGTTGCCCATCATGTCTTTGATCTAAAACAACTTCCCTACTCCACCTATCCCCTTCATCCGAGGCTCTGTCAAGATCACCCCTGGGAAGTTCTCCCAGCCAGTGAGGCAGGCTCCCTTCTGACCTGAGGTCTCTGAGAAGTCAGTTTGGAAGCTGCCTCAGGCCCATGATTCAATGAAAGGGCACACCCCACAACACCTGTCCAAAGCCAGGAGGGTTGGAAGAAAGACTAGCCTGCCCCACCCCCATGCAGTGGAGCCAGTGCCCCCTCGCGGAGGAAAGCCCCTGGTCCTTCTCCCCCCTCCCCTCTTCCGGCTGGGCCTCCGGCCCCCCTTCCTCTTCCCTCATCTGGTGACAGATTTATTCCCCACTCCAGACAAAGGGAATTCAGCCAGGCGGTTGGAGGCACCTGAGGCCAGCTCTCCTTCCTGGGCACAGAGAGTCGGGAAGGGTTGGGGTACCACCTTTACACTCTGGATCACTTTTCAGCAGGTTAGGGGCAAGGCAGGACCTGAGAGACAGCTGAATGACCAGCTGCCTGCTCGTGGTGACCTCAGGATTTCCTGGGCTCCAGGAAACCCAGTTAATAGGGGACGTCCAAGCTCCCCACCTAAATTCCTTCCTGTGGCCCGGAGGAGAGGAGGAGATGGGAGTATACCAAGTTGGGGGTTTCAGCAGAATTCCAGCGGTGACCAGTCTGAAGACCCTCAGAACACTAAATCTCACCCTGCTAGGCTCCTCCTAACTCAGCCATCTGTTAGTTACCTCTGCTCACCTGTCCATTCTCTGCCTCACTTTCCCTCCAACATTCCTCACAGCAGCAGATAGTACGAGGTCTTGGGGAGTTGCCAGGCGCTTACTATTTGGCTTGATCCCTACACCGTGAGGAGAAGGACTCTCCCACGCCTGCGCTGGGGAGCCCTCCAGGTGCCCAGTTCCGCCCTCAAGCCTGGAGTCCCCGCACTCCGCGCGCTGCGCACTCACCGGTGATCAGCACCGCGCGAGTGGCCACGGGCAGGCGCGCCGGGCGCGCCAGGCGGGATAACGCGATCCAGCCGGCGGCGGCCAGCACGGCGAGTGCGGCCAGTGGAGGTAGCAGGCGCTGGCATAGCCAGTCGAGCACGGCCAGCAGCGCCAGCGTCGCCAGCAGTGGACGGCCCAGCCGCAGGTCTGCGCGGAGCAGCTGCAGGAGCGCGCGGGCCGCCACCAGCAGCCAGGCGCCGCCCGACGGCCAAGGCCAGCGCTCCATGGCGGCCGGGCGGGGCTAGGCAGACCGGGGCGAGGGCCGGACTGGGACGCGGGGAGCGGGACGCAGAGCTGGGGCGCGGGGTGCTGCAGGGCAGAGCACACTAAGAGCGAGAAGGACACTCGCTTTCTCAGCTCGCCCTCGGACCGAGCGTATAAAGAGCCCTGGGGGCGGAGCGAGGGCGGGGTGGGGCGGGGCTTGCCTCCACTTCTCTCATTGCAACCCTGGCCGGGCAGGTGCCCCCCCGCCCCGCCCCCGGGGCCAGATCCGCTTTCGAAGAAGCCGGAACAAAGTCACAAAGTTGCTGCGCAAGGAGGAGCAGCGTCGCCGCGGGCCGCGCTGGAGAGGGTGCTGGTCGGCGGGCCCGTGCGCCCTGCACCCGCTCTCCCCTGCGCGCGCCCGCGCACACACACACACACACACACACACACACACACACACGCCCGTGTGCCCAGAGCCGCCGCTCCCAGGTGAGCACACCCAGCTCACACTTGCTCGAGACACCGGAGGACACGCACAGTTTCCAGGCAGGTCCCCACACCGACGGCGCCGCTGGGCCTCCCGGCAGACTGAGGGGAAGCAGCCTGCGCTTACTCGCTGCCGGCACGCGCGCCTCGCTCCCACGACGTGCGCAGCCCCTACTCCCTAGAACGCACGACCCCGATATGCGCTCACTGCTCAGTTGTTTACGGCCACCAAGCTGGCCTGGGGCCTGGGCTCAAGAGAGTGGGATGACCTCTCTGGTTCTTGGGATCTCCTGGCTTCCCTCTCTCCACGGGGACCCAGCTCTAGGGCATGCAACAACTCCACCTCCCGCTACACAAGCTCTGTGGGTGCAGAGTCTAGGCGAGTTCTCTCTTAGGGTCAGATATTTGAGGACATCTGGGAAGCCAGTGAGGGAGGGTAGTCCTGAGGGACCCACTCTACTCCCGTGAATCCTTTAGGGAGTAATGCGAGTGGATGGGATCAAATGAGTGGACATGTGGACACGTCCCTGCATGTGCCAAAGATGGTCCATGTTTGTGTGTGGCCCAGCGGCCCCCCACCCTGCCCACCTCCGTATCTGGCACCCTGTGCCCAGCATCCATGCCAGGCCTCTGCTAGGCGCTGGGAATTGGTGCCAGTACCTGGCTGCCAGGCACTATGCTGAGAAGAGTGTGTGAGGCCGTGGCAAAGGGGGAGTCCCTGCCCTGTCTTGGTTCAGGGTGGGATCATGGACTCTTCACTCCTTTCAGCCCAGACTGAGTGCTCCTTCTCTCTTGAGTGTCCAGGCTTTGTGCCAGAGCTACCTGGTATAGTGGCTCTTTCAAAGCTCTCTCTGGCATGCAGGTGCCCCCTCCCCTGTGTGGCAGAGAATCTCAGAGGCCCTCAGAGCCATACTCACTCAACTGGTGAGGTTCTGGGTGGAGGACCTGTCTCCACTCCTAGGTCCCCACCTATCCCTTCTTGTTTAAGTACAGAGGCCATGCTAGCCCTGGCCTTGGGAGTCAGGACTTGCCTGGAGAAAGTGTGTGGGTCTGACCTTGAGTGTATGACCTTGTGTGCCTCTGTGTGTGTGTATGTACTTGTGTCCAGGGGTGGTCATGGTTTTCATGGAGATACGGTGGTTTTTCCTTGTGCGGTGACCTTGTGTAGACATATGGAAGCACATTGGTATGTGTTCTATGCGAATTTTGCACCTCTCACTTTCCGACCGGTTCATCTCGCCTCTGTGCAGGGATTCCCTTTGCAAACAAATCCCGTCGCCTCCTGTTGCTCTGGATCTGGATCCCAGGCTCAGAAGCAGACAGTCTTGGCCTGGCGTCCTAACCTGAGCTGTAGGGCCTGGCCTGTCTGTCAGACGCCCTACCTCCAGGCTCTCTACCTAGAGTCTGGCATTTGATTTTCCAGACTCAGTCCATCAAGGACTTCCCCTTGAGGCTGGGGAGGAGGAAGAAGGGTGGAGGCTAGGGCAGCCTTCAGGCCTGTGGCCACACAGATCGTGCCAGTCCTTGCCGCAGGAGAAGTTAAAGGCAAATGTGAGGAAAACAAGGTGAGGACAAATTGAGACTTGGGGTCTCTGGTACAGTCTCGTGAAAGATTCATAAAGAGTCCTGGTTCACGAGAAGAAAGGCGTGTGGAGAGGGAGTGCTGGGCCTGCCTTTATGTTTGCAGCAGGGTAGGGTGGGGGTGGTGGCAGATTGCCAGCTCAGCTTCTGGGATGCTGTGCCACCTTGGGCAGAACCATTCGTTTTGAAGGGCTTGGGCCTGGACAGGACCAGACAATCTGCCATAATTGTCTATCACCTTCCCCATGACCCCAGCCCACTTCCTGGGCCAGGAAGCCAAAGCCTTTTCCTTCCAAGATCTCTGCTCCTGGCCTTTTATGGCCTTCTAGGGCCAATGACCCCTGAGCCCTCATCAAGTGGAGCTCTCTGGAAGTAGAAGGTGGCTCTGGAAGTAGGAGGTTCTCTGGCAGTCCCAGCTGGGAGGGGCTGGCCCAGCCCTGTCTGAGGCCTGGTGCCAGGTTGCACTTGCCTGGGGGCCAAGAACCAGCCTCTGCCAGAACCAGGAGTCTAGGCTGGCAGGGGGCCTCCAGGGAAGAGAAAGGAACAGGGGAGAGGGCAGGTGCCCAAGCTGATAAAGCAGGACCCGCCAAGGGCTGAGGAATGAAGGCAACCAGAAAGGGCAGAGTCCTTGAGATACTCCTGTCCCTAAGCTCTCAGGCTCCAGTCTCCTTTGATTCTTTGACCCACCACCCTGACCGTGGGATTAGCCACCCCTGAGCATGCCCCTGCCTAGACCGGGGATGAAGGTGCAATGAGGCTGTCTCAGGGCTGCAAGGGCTGAGCCTGGCAGCTCACTGGCACCATCTGCCGGCCTTTTGGGGAGGGTGCAGTTCTAAAGGAGAAAGAAGGCGGGAATTGACGTGGGGAAACCCGAAGTCTCGGAGGGGATGGGGACAGTTCTCAAGAGCCTCCACAATTCTGCACATTTATCACGCTGCGGTTCTTGGAGCCAAGCACTCTCTTGCCCTTTGTGGTCTAGCACAGAGGATTTTAAAGAGGCCTTGCCCCATACATTACTCACTGGCACACTAGCACCCCTTCCTACAAGTGTAATGTCAGAGAGGAACCTCCCCCTGCAGAATCCCTGCCATCCCCGCCACTCAGGGAAACTTAAAGAGCTCCTACTGAGAGCCAGGTGACAGCTAAGCACAGGCAACAGAGACCCTGGCCTCCTCCCCGCCCATGATACCGACCAGCATTCCCATCAGTTCTACACCCCTTCCTCAGACATTGTTCCCCAGCTTTCACCTTCCCCACCCAGTTCTCAGCCAGATTGTTTCACAATCACCATCCCCATCGTTCTACTGCAGTGGCCGTCCTGCCCTTGTCAAAGGTCACCCGTGAATGACTTCTGAGTCTCCAACTCACATAACACATCCTTGCTCTCAACCAGGTGTCCTCAGTTAGCCAGGTGTCCTCGGTTAGCCAGGTGCCCTCAGTTAGCCAGGTGCCCTCAGTTAGCCAGGTGCCCTCAGTTAGCCAGGTGCCCTCAGTTAGCCAGGCCTCCTCAAAGCTTCTGCCCTGCTGGCCACCTCTTGCCGCGCCATGCCCTGTGGCGCCTGTGAAGCCACCCTCTACTGGGATTCTTCCTACTTTTCTGGTTCTTCTAAGCCTCCTCCTAAGAGCTCCTTCCATGTGGGTGAACCTCTGACCATGGATGACTCCTGCTCTGCCTGCCCCTTCTTCCCTCCATGAGCTCATCTCCACCCCACCCCCCAGGCTGGCGACTCCCACGCTCAGGCTCCAGCCAAGGCCTCACTCTAGACTCTAGACCCACATGTCCTGCTGTCCCTCGATGCTTCCCTGGGACACCCACAGGCCCCTCACAACTAGCATGTCCCAACCAACTCTTGTCATCTTCCCTTGTCCCTTGTCGTGGCTACTCCCTTCCACATTCTTGACCTTCATTCTTTGCACAGACCATCAAACCCCTGTTTTATCCCAAACTGAGCTGGATGAAGAGACCACGTAAGAGCCTGTCATGGTGTAGTTGAGTGGTGTTGAGTCAACCTCCGCTCATAGCAACCCCATGTGACAGAAGGGGATATCCCCAGAGGGTTTCCTAAACTGTAAATCTTTATGGGCCAGATAACCAGGTCTTTTTTCCGGGGAAGCCACTGATGGGTTCAAACCACTGACCTTCCTTTCAGTTGGAGTGCTAATCGTAGGCCACCAGAGCCCTTTATAACCTGTTATTGTTGCTTTTGTTGTTAGGCTCCTTCGTGTTGACTGTGACTCATAGCTACCTGAAGAATGACTGATCTGGACCTTCCCCTTCCGATGCCCCGCACCCTCCTCGTGGTCTCTGTCAGTCGCTGTCTGACTCCGTCTCATTGAGGACATTCTCTTTCGCTAACCTGTCAGAGTGAGTAATATTATCATCACTTTACAACTGAGGAAACTAGAGATTATAGAAGTTGAGAAAATTGCTCAAGCTTCCACACCTGTGTTGGAATCATGGACCAGCCCTCAGGTTCAAATGCACCGAGTCTCGGCTCCTGAGCTCTCTAATATCAGGCTGTGTTTGCCACCTGTAGCCTCTTAGACTTTATTCTTAGGACAAAGGAGAACCCTAGAATGGTCCTGGAGCAAAATAAGACCCTCTCCAGGCTGACCTGAAATGTTCTATGGAAAGCAGTGAGAGTGGAGGCCCGAGGTTCTGTGGCTGCATCTAGATGGAGGCAGAAGCAGTGCCTGTTTCAGACAGTCTGAGCCTGCGGTGCCTGTGAACGTGCAAGGACTGAGGCAGAGGCAGCCAGATGGTCATGAGCTCTAGCATATGCCCAATGTGGCATGGGAGCCCTGGTGGTCATTGACATGGACTGATGACCACACACACACACACACAGACACACACAGAGAGAGAGAGAGAGAGAGAGAGAGAGAGAATGAATCTGGAAATCAGGCCCTTGTGTTACACTTACCAGGTAGAGGGGACAGTAAGATGATGGCAGC